CCTGTGTGAGCCCCCATTTTGGGTCCTTACCCCCCAATATCAACCGTAAACCCCACCCCCTTTGGGTGATGTTCCTTCCCCGGGTGGGCCCCCTCTTTGCTTTGTGTTTCCCCCCCTGTGTGAGATGTGGATGCACCTTTTGGTCACGTTGTTCCCCACAGCGTGGTTTGGGTGATCCCCTTTTGGATCAACACCCCCTGTGGAAAGCAAATGCCCCTTCCCTTGGGTCGTGTCCCCCCCTCCAGGCTGGATCCCACCGTTGTGTCCCCCCTGGCTGCTGTATCTCTGCCCTGGCAGCAAGGGGGGAGCTCTGCAGCCCCCCTGCTGAGGGCCTAAAAACATCCTGGCTGTAGTTGTTGTCCCAGTGGAGGCTTTCAGCTGAGGATAGAGAGTGTGTCTGCTGGCCTTGACGTGGCCCAGCTTCTTCTGCAGGCACGTTGTGTTGCCTGTCCCTCATCCCATTTGAGGTGGGAACGTTGTGTCCCACCAGCGATGCCCCTGTGGAGCAGTGGGTAGTTTGTGTACCCCAAAATGGGAAGCTGTGGGTAGTGTACCCCAGGATGGGAGAGGGAGTTTGAGGGCTGTTGAGTGCTCTGTGGAGCGAGCTCTGTTTTGTTTGGGCTGAGCCATTTTAGTGTTGTCACACGTTACAGATGTGAATGATAGAATAAAACCAGAGCAAAATGAGGCATGTTAAAGAAATCCTTTAAAGCACAGCATGGTTCTTTACCAGGAGAAGACATGTCCAAAGGTACAGGAAGTTGTGTCACCCCACAGATTCTACCCAATGAGTGAAACTGGGCAGTGAGCTAAAACCACTCCATGCCCAGACCTTGGGTACTTCCCTGCCAAGCACCTGAGTGTCTCCTACATTTTTAATTTGTGGTTATGTTCAAACATGAGATTCTTTTTCTGTTGAGAACACTACAGAAGCAATTCTGCTTCTTGATACAAGTTACTTCATGTGAGAACTTCAGTTTTCAAATGTGCACAGGAGGTTCTTAGGAGCTGAAACCCTTCCTGAGCAGCTCATGGTGACCCCACTGTGGAGTGGAGCTGTGCCCTGCTTTGTTCACTGGAAATTCTTCCATGAGCTTTTTAAACATTCAGACAAAATGTCTGTGAATCCAGGAATTTCCAAAATACACTCTCTGTTGTTTCCAAAAAGACTGTACAGACTTTTATCCCCATTGAGCCCGCCGAGATACATGGATCACAAGCCTAAGAGCTCCAACAAAGGATGCAGAAAAATGTATAAATAAAGGAATTTCTTCTGATTCTGCATATTCCTACTTTGCAGGCTGCTCATCTGGTTGCTTCTAAACTTCTTCCCCCAATATTGTGGTTTGGCAGAAATTTGTCAGGGAGAAGCTGTGGAGATGAAATGCAGCCCTTCAGTTTACAGCTAATTACATCCTCACTCAAGAATTCTTTCTGATACAGCCATTAATATTCTTTGCTTTAATTAGCAGCATTAATAGCATATAAAATTTAGAGCTAAACCACAGTTTTTAAGTGTGGCTACCTATTTAATAGTCATCTGTGCAGTCATGTAAAATGAGATAATGTAAAAATTTTACCTTTTATCGTACTAAAAAGAAAAAACATGTTTGAGCTGCATTTTTATGTCATTTTCTTTAATTGCTTTTCACTATGAGAAGGCAGTGAAAGATTTCTGTAGCAAAAATTGGAGTGAAACTGCTCTATAGGACACATGAAATGAAATATTACTTCATCTCATCTTGGCTTTTGGTAAATATCTATCTCACAGAGTATGAAATTTGTTGCTTTGAGGAGATGTTTTTAAATTGCTGCTCTGTGTCTGAATAGTTTAGGTGATACCCTCATCTTGGAGGTGTACATACACCTCTGGTTTAAGTGTGTGTGTGAGCACTGGCAGGATTCAGTTTATAACCAGATGAGGGAGTTATAATGAAGAGACTTTCAGCCATTTGGATTGGGAAGTGGTTGATAGTTCATGACATTTACCCTGCAGCATAATTCATTCTTGGTTCCAGCTTTTTAGTCAGCTCTGGGTGCAGAGGGTCGAGAGCAAGTGTGGGGGAAGGCCTGAAATCAGGGCTGGGAACAGAGAAACTCCTGAGAGCTTTTCTTAGACCGTGGCACAAATTGTTTGTACAAATTCTTGAAGTGATTTGAAAGGAGCAGGAAAGTTGCTGAGGAGTTACCCGGAGTGACAGTGCTGGTGGGGCTGGCAGAGGTGGAAGGAGGAGTTTGGGTTGGGCCAAGGGGGTGGGAATTTCAGGCAGAAAGGGCAAGAGGGACTGAGGCTGCTGCCTGGGAAAGGAGCTGGATGGAGCTGCAGCTGGAAGGACTGAGCACCCTGTTAAACAGCTGGAGGGTGTTTCAGGATGGGGATAGCTTTTACTGGTTTGAAATCCATATTCTTGCCAAGTGGTTCAAGAAGCAATTTCTGTGGTAACTGATGGTTTATGTTAATTGGAAATAATATATAAATATAAATATAATACCTGCCTGGATACGTGGTGGAAATGATATCATCTGCCTGGCCAGCTTGTGTAGAAATGAACTAATTCCTGGACAGCTTGTGTATGAATGAATTAATTCTTGCATGGTTTCAGCTGCCAGTGATGTTTCTCCTTTTGCAAGATGAGAGGAGAAAGGACATGACATGGTTCCTCCACCCCTGATTTCCCATCTCCACCTTCTGCCTGCCTCTGCCCTTTAGGAGGCAGAGCTTCTCCTGGCATCTCAGGAAGATTCAGTAGGACTCATCTACATAGCTCCACTCAATTAATTAAGCTGCTGCATTCTGTTCCTTGATGAGGGCAGTGTGTTCAGTAGCCATTGGAGGGGGCCATGCAGTCCTGAAATGTGAAGAGATGCTTTGCAAGTTAAATTTAGGTTGGACTAGATGATCTTTTGAGGTCCCTTCCAACCCCTATGATTCTATGATTCAGAAGGAAAGCTCAGAGCTGCTTTGCCTGTGTCATGTCCCCCACGTCCTGCACTTCTCTGCTCCTGTTCTCCTGGTCCTAGCACCTTCTCATGTCTTGATGCAAAGGAAGGTATCTCATTCTGCAGGGAGAGCAGCTGCACAATCCACTGTACTTGAACCTTTCCCCCTCTCCCCAAGTTCCTTCCACTTACAGTAAGTGGGGGAATAAAATATTAATTGGAAGTTCTCTTCTTTTTCTAGATTCTGGAAGTTACAGTCAGTCTGGGGGCCAGCAGAGGTATGTGTGGGGATTTTTTTTGCTGTTAGCCATTAAATCTGCAAAATAAAAGGGCATTTGGGATCCCCAGGCTGGTGTTTGAGTCCTGGGGCACGGTAGAGCATTGATATGTTTTTGGAGTTAGAGGTGCAGAAAGCTTGCTGCCCTGGGCATTTATTAAAGCATCTTATAAAACAGGGAAAAAAATCATATTCCTGACAGGAGGACAATAATGAGGTTTAAGCTGGAATGGCACCTTTTAATAGTGAGAACTGAAACATCATGAATACACAAATATTTCATACGACTGCCTTAAGCTGTTCACTCAGATTTGAGTCAAAGGTCATACAAGTGTAAAGATGATGGACCATGGAGATATAAAATTTTATATTTTCCCATTTTCTTTTCCCCTTGGAGGGAACTTTTTGTTAAAACCTGTTCCTAATAACAAGAATTTCTTGTTAAAAGCTGTTACAGTAGCTGTTCATAATCTTGAAGCCTAAAAGCCAGTTCATAAAATCCCTGCCATTTTCTGTTTGGAGGGAGGTGTTTTAATCACTGAAACCAAAGTGGGTTTATGGGAGTATGAAAATCATGGCTAATGCTGACTGTGCTCATGAAAATCATAAGGTTCTATGCATATAGCCCTGTGTGAGTTTGACTTTGGAGTATGATACAAGTTTCAGCACGTGGTTCCTCTCTCAGTTCATCAAATCTTAATGTGACAGAATAATGAGTAAGTATAATATCAAACGAGTGGGTTTTTTTTATGATGAAGTCCAACAAATACCAAACTGACAGGAATTGATTAAAATTAACTTTGTATGAATATACTGGTTAACCTAAACCACCTTGATTTCATATGATGTTTTCTGTGATTCTGAAGAATATGTTGAATTACAGCAAGCCAAACTTTCATGTACTTTCAATTTAAACAGAGCAGAAATTAAAATAAACTCTTCTGGCTTCTGACAGTCAACTGTGGTAACTGTTAGTTTATTGATGTGGTTCTGATACACCTACAGCTGCACTACTTAGATTAAACACCTATTTTGCCATGAAAAAAAAAACCTTAAAATAGCACCAAAATTACCTTTACTTTCCAACCCATGTGGAGGGCCCTGTAAGCAATTACTAAATGCATTTTTCTCTTGCAGCTATTCATCCTATGGAAGTCAGAGCAGTCAAAATTATGGCCAAGCACAGGTAAGCTGAAAAAACCCTCATGTCTCTCAAAGCAGATGGTCCTTAAGTGAAAATTGTTGTTCCTGGGCCACCACGTGTGTGCCAGGCAGAAGTCCATTCTCAGCTCTGCTTGATGTTTGGAGTCATGCCTGGCAAAGGTAACCTGACAACCTGCAGTGGGCATTGTGGTGATTTGGATGTGCTCTTGAAATTACAGGGATATTCTGGTTATGGGCAGAGTGGAGACAATTCCTCCTATGGGCAGAACTATGGAAGCTATCATGGGAATTATGGACAAAATCAAACAGGTTTGGCTAGCTTGTTACATTTATTGGCAGTAATTAAAAGGGGAATGTTTACTAATAAAGTTTTCATCCTCAATTTGCAGGTTATGGACAAGATTCCCAGGGATATGATGATGATTCCAGTTATGAAAATCAGAATCAGAGCTCCTACAACCAGCAGTCCTATGGCAATCAGGGGCAGCAGAAAGGGTCATCTCGAGGGTAAGGAAGCCAAAATTAAGAGTATTTTTTTAAAGTACTGCCTAATAGTTGTACTTTCTTAACTAGAGCTATAGCAAATTTCCTCCTGTCATTGCTAAAAAAGGGACAAACATCGGAAAAAACAAATTCTTAAGACGTTTTTAAGACGTGAAGGAGCAGGAGGTAAAGGAAGAGTATTTCTTTATGTGAGAAGGATGGATGCAGTTGTTTTGAAGTCAAGCTGTACAGGAAGATAGAAAGTCTTTGGATAGTGACCACGATGAAGAATGGACTTGGTGGAGAGGATTTTGATTAGGAAAAAGGTGTGTCCAGGACTTCTCCAGTCACGTTATTTTGTATAAGCTTACAGAACTCTCTTATTAACTTCAAATAAGCTGTTTGCAGGTAAATTCTCAGCTGTTCTTAGATTTGCAGGCTTCTTCTCTGACTTAGATAAGAAGTTGCCTGCCTAACTTATGCCTGGCTTTTCTTGGTGAAAGAGGAGGAAGGGATTCAGTAATGTCATTTAAGTAGTATCTTTTCTTTTACCAAATAAATAGGATTCTCAAAACATCATGTTCTTATATCCTCATCAATAACAGAAATATGCATATGCATACTGCACTCTGATCCAGTATGCAGTTGCAAACATGTTCTATTTCATAAGTGATGCACTTGTAACATTAATCCTCCCAAAACTGCTTCATTTTTGAAAATATGGTGGAAAATACAACTTGACTTCCCCTAACGACTTTGGAGGCCTCTTGGTGCTAGAATCCCTTCATTATCTTTTACAAGCTTCGTGCATACACCCCAAGGTTACTGCTCACATTAGATCTTTATTGGGAATCACATGACCACTCTAAAATACACTTTCAGGTCCCAAGCCTCATCCTGGTGTCCAAGGTCCAAATATTTTTGGTTTGGTTGGGTTTTTTTTTGCAAGCTGATAAAACAATCTGGACTTCAGCAAACCTGTACTTGGTTTCTGGTTTTGCAGTTATTATTACAAAACATCTCACTATAAATGAGCAAGGTCTGAATCTGCCAGCACTGTGTGCTATCACTCAGTGTCTTTTCCATGTCTGCAGTGAAGGCAGGCACACCCTTAAATGTTGCTTGGCTTTGTTTTCTGAGCATTTTTTTCTGAGCTGTACAAAATTACAGGACTGGGCAATAATGTTTTTAGTTCTGTAGACATCCAGTGGAAAGAAAATGCAGTAGAGCATATTCTCCAACAGTTTGGTTTTCACCAAGAAAATGAAAAATGGGGGGAAACTTTTGGATGTATGGTTGTAAGAAGTAAGGAGAAACTGAGAAACTAAATTCTAGCAACTTGGAAGAGGATGGCCACAACTGCAGCTCTCACATCCTGAGGGAAGGAAACAAAACCAGCAAATAGGGGATGCTCTCAACAACATTTCCTTTGCTGATGATGGTGCAAGGGCTGAACTGGAGCTGACTTTTTGAAGCAAAGATATTAACAAAAATCCTTGCAAGCTCTTTGCCACTGGGAGCAGTTGTGTTAAAACCAAGATCTGGGCTAGAGCTGGGAGGGAGCTTAGGTGGTGTTTACACAGTGGGATATTCTGAGGTTGGTTGGACCTGATGGATTTCATCTTAGAGTGCTTTGAAAAGCTGATGGAAACTTTCTGTAGGCTCTTCATTTTTTTTTTGGTTTGTTTTTCTGAGATGCTTTGGCTAGCAAGCAAGATTGCCAAAGACTGGAGGGTGGCAAATGTAGTGCCTCCATCTTTTGAAAAAGGGTGGAAACAGGGAGGAGGAAGAGAAGAAAGTATGGCAGAGGTCAGTGGTTAATTGAAATTACTGAAAAATATAGTACAGTTAAGCTGCATCTACTTACCCAGAGGGAAAACAAAGGTCTGAGTAACAGCCAGTGTTTCCTGGATGCATTTTATTTCTCATAAATCTATATAATGTCTGACTACAAAAGGGTAACCCAGCTGGAATGGTTCTCTCATGTATCTAGGCTCTTAAAATACTTTTCTTTCTACCTTGGATGCTGAAGTGGCCTAGAGAAGTACAGTGTAGGTGAGATTTCCTTGTGCTTGCTATGAAGTCACTGTTAGTCAGAGAAGAGTGAACAACTTCCTCTCAGAATGTGCAGCCACGTTGGGTTGGAGCAGCCCAGATGAGACACCAGTCAATGGTTCTGTGGACAGTTGGTGGGATAATACTTGTAGATGGCACTAAAGTGAGAACTATGTCAGAGAACATCTCAAGAGTTAGAAAAGTTCTTGGCCAAATGGTGGAATGCTCAGAAAAAGATAGGTCTGGGTTCAGTGAAAGCAAAGTCAAGATTTTTTTAGATTTTTTGTTTTGTAGACAGCCAGTATCAGCTGCATGACACAACACAAGCAGGGGGTGTCTTCCCTGCAGGCTGTAGAGAAGGATTTGGCATTTCAGGGGCTGTGCATCAGCCACTGTCGTGCTGCTGGGGGGAGAGCAGGCGTGGTGCTGGGGTGTGGAGGGGCAGTGCTGCTCCTCTTACATTTGCAGTGGAACTGAGGGGGTCTGGAAAGCAATGGGAACGTGCCATTTTCTGCCTTGCTGTTATTGGAAGCCAGATCTGTCCCAGCAAAGCTGCAGCATGGAATATTTTCATATCTGTGTGCCAGTAATGACTGGGAGGTGACTGTGCCTAGGAAATTTTAGCAATGTCATGAATTTTCAGCCGTTACTTTGCTCTCTATTCTGTGAACATTTAGCTATTAATACAAATTCTGTTTATTTTAAGTGGAAGAGGCTCTTATGAACAAAAGTCAAACTATGGTCAGCACCAAAGCTCTTATGACCAGCAGTCAAGCTATGGACAAAACCAAGACTCTTATGACCAGCAGTCAAGCTCATATGACCAGCAGTCGGGCTATGGCCACCAGGGCTCATATGACCAGCAGTCGGGCTATGGCCACCAGAGCTCATATGACCAAAAGTCAGGCTATAACCAGCACCAAAGCTCATATGGCCATTCTCAGCAGTCCTACCAGTCTCAGAAGGGAAGCTATAGCCACAACAGCCAAGGTAAAATTCACAGGTTGAATTCAATATTGGCTAATAAAATTGAGCAGAAACACTGTGAAGTCGTTGGATTTCCTTCCACAGGGAGTTGATGTGATGCCTAGTTAAAGCTCTTTTTCCATGTTGATCTCCTAGAGAATGTTTTATTTGTTAAGATTTTCAAAACATGAAGAGATGAAAAACTGTTGGGGCCCCAGAACTGTTGTATTTGCTGGAGGCAGCTTGCAGAGTCCACGTCCCCGAGCTCTGCAAATTCTAGATGGAATTCTCTTCTGAGCTATTTTCAGCTTTCTCCCAGCATCAGAGTGACGTGTCTTGATCAATCCCAAAGAACCTTTGCACTTCACATTCCAGCTTTACGCTGTGTGTGTGAATTCTGGGAGGGAAGGAAATGACAAGTTTAAGATCAGCCCTTTTTTTGCAGTAACTTTACCCACTCTTTATCCTTGTTCTGTCTTCAGTTATGTCTCTTTCCAACTGGGAAGGCTACATGGAACAGGAATTAAAAGTGCACTTTAGGCAATATGTGGAAAACTAGGCAACATTTGGAAAATGGTGTGTGATTAAAGTACAGAGTGTTTACATTCTGAGATACCTTGTGGCCCTGGGAGGCCAGGGAGGTAACTGGAACAAAATCAAGCTTTGCTCCATTACTCTGTGGCATAGATGATGGAAGAGAGATTTGGGAGTTGATGCTTTCCAGATTTAAATGGGAGACTTGAAAGGGGGATGGGGGTGGAAAGTGGTAGGGTGGGAATTGTCAGCAGTTGGTTCACTGCAATTTGCTCATGGCTTGGTTTGTTTTCCTCCTTCCTGCAGATGATCGTCGTGAAAAGAGTAGGTATGGAGAAGATAATAGAGGATATGGCGGGTCACAGGGAGGAGGTAGAGGGGGATATGACATGGATGGAAGAGGTCATATGTCAGGATATAGGTAAGTGATCTCATTCCAGTGCCTGCAGTTCCTTACCCTTGTTTTTATCATTTAGCTGTTTCTAATTTTATCTTTTTTACTATACGTCTGTTCCTAATGTGGTTCAGATTTAGATTTACAAAACCAGAAGGTTTCTAAAATTAAACCTCTCTGCTTTTTCTGCCTGGGAAAAGCTTTTAGGTTCAGATGTGTTGACACCAAGCTTTGGATCATTAGCACAGATAGCTGCATTTTATTTACAGGAGTTGCAATACACAAACTGCCTGAGCCCATCCCCTGAAACCAGATATTTTAAAACCTGTAAGCACTTGCTCTCATTCAGAAGGAAGCCAGCAGCCAGGGATTGAGGAAGTTTTATAAAATTCATAGCTAAGGTAGCTAATGTTCTAGCAGGGAATTATTGTGGCTTCACAGTGACAGATCATTACACTAAGGCTGGCTAATTATCTTTTTACTTTCTAAATAATTCAGGAGTAATTTAGTAATATCACTACTTGTTCTCTTCTGTGTTGTTTTTTTACTTCTAATCTTCCATTAAAATACAGTTTTTATTTTTGGATTAGCTGTCAGTCTGAACACATTTATTTTAGGTAGATTTTTGTAAACTAACAACACTGTTACCCCTTCTGCTGTTGCCTTAAGTGTTGTTCCTGTCAAGAAAATTTATGCCCATCTATATTTTTGTGCTTGCAGATGATTTCATGCATAGATCTGAGAGATTGGGGCCTTGGCTTTAAATCCTGTTGAGTTAGGCCAGATGACATTATTATTTCTTAACAAGCTATGACAATTGGCCTCCCTTTATGTTGCTCTGTGAAATGGTTGTGGAGGTGTAGTACACAGTGCTGCAGAGTCAGAACTGGAGCTTCCCATGAAGTTCCACAGCTCTGGAACTCCAGGTGAAGAACTCCAATCATACAGCACTGTTTGTTTGAACTGATCTCATTGAAATAAAATTATCCACCAGTGTGTCAAGACTTGGTGACCACTTAAAATATGTACTTCTAAACCAGATGTAAAATCTACCTGCTGCTGGAGGTGGTCTCAGATTGTACTTCATGGCATGGTCTTCTGATGGTGTAGGTGGACCCTCCCTCCCCTAATTAGATGTGGTAGCATGGTTACAAAAATGTATTACTAGTTATTTTATGTTACAATTTGCTGGGGTTATATCTGATATAAGCTTAACTAGCAAAGTAACTTCTATGTTCATTTTCAGTTAAAACAGAACAAATTTTTCTTAATTAGCTTTTCTATGTAAATGAGGGTTTTTCATACTCCTATGTTAAAATCTGGGTTTTTATTTTAAAATTGTTTCTAGCTTTCCAGTAAGAGGAGTGAATGTGAGCTTCAAAAAACATCCTTCTGGTAGATTTTTATCACTTTGAAACAAACCTCTGTCTTTGTAAGATAAGATAAATTCATGTCTGTGAAAATAAAGCCTCTTCCCATATTTTCCCAAAATGTTAGAAGAATTTTGTTCACACATTCATGTAAATAGTAGTATTTCAAGGGACTTGAAAGCCAAAAGAAGGAAAAGAGAAAGAAAGAAAAAGGTGACTGGAGAAGTGTGGGGGGAAGTGCAGCAAAGTGGGAAGGTGTTTAGTGTGAAATCTGTCCACTCTGTTAAGTGATGCAGTCCTTAATGCTCTTTGCAGTGAATTTTTCCTGAAACTACAGTGTCATAAATGTTTATTGAGTCATTCTGCAGAATTATGATGGAGCATTCTGCTTTTGACATAGATTTTCCCAAAGCCATGCTTATTAGAAAAGTGTAAAAAGGTTAAAGTAAACAACAAACTGTATAATCAAGGGGAAAATAACTTCTAATAAGGTAAGAAATCATGTTTGGTCCTGTGAGAATATGGGGGTTTCAGGGTAGTTTGTTGGGTTTGTTTCTGTAGGTTTTGGTGGTGGTTTTTTTTCTTGTTTGGTTGGTTGGTGTTTTTTTTTAAAGTAACTTGTGTAGGAATGTCAAGTCTACCTCCAGTACCAAATTATAATTTTCATTTTTTTTTACTTTGACCACATTTTAATGCTTAATGTTAAATTGTTGACATTCCATAGCCATCAGGAAATAATCTAGCTAAGTTCTTGTCTGTACTGATGTGCTGCTGTAATAATGTAGGCTTTGGTTTTTACAGTCCTTAGAAAATAACATGTAGAGGAGTTCTGTCAGCACACAAAAAGTTGTTCCATGACTTTACAAACCCCATTAACAGCTAACTTGAGATCACAGCATATGAATCTCTTCTGTGTTAGCTAGTAATAAAGATTTTATCTTGGCTGGCATTTAAATGGAGGGAGAACTTGTTGCAGCTTTTTGCCCATGGGTGGGAGTGTCACCCTGTCAGGGGTGTTCTTGAGCAGTGTGTCCTGTTGCCAGTGTCACCCCTGACTTGCTGCTCTCCTGTCCTCCTGGTACAGCACCTTGGTCCCCACAAGATTCTTACAAGTGGCATCAGCCTGGGTGAACTTACCCTGTGTGGAGACCTCTCAGAGCAGTCTGCAAGGGCAAAAAATTATTCTGGAATACTTGCAGCAAAATCAAATTAGCATTTTTTAAGTGTTGTGAGCTTTAAGTTCTTTGAGGAACCTTTGCAAAAAGACTTCAAAACATAGGTGGTAATGTTAAGGTATGAATCGTTAGTCTGAAAACTCAAATTACTTAAATATCTACTGTAATAAATGCTTTCAGCACTTGTTTTTCCTTTGTGCCTGGGCAAAGTCATGCAGCACTGGCAAGAAAGTATCTTCTGAGAAATTACTGTTCAAATTTCCTAGCTGATATGATAGAGAATGATCCTTTTCTCATGAATCAGATGTTCACTTTTTCATCTTACTAAATTTAGGTTTCAGAATTAATCTTCAGTTGTTTTTTTTTTATTTTTTATGGTCCTGAATTACATCCTTGGGTATTTTAATAGAATTTTACTACCCTTTCATTTTAAAGCTTGAAGAACTGGTGATCTCACTGATTTGTATTTTGGCAGAGAAACAAAATTTCTTCTTCTAAAACCCAGAGTAGAAGAGTGTCATCTTTGAGCTCTTTTGGTTAGAACTCAGGTACACCAGGTCTAGAATATTCTTTCCTTGTAGAGTAAGTCACCTCTGTTAGAGCCCTCATCCTAAAGGCAAGGAATTAATTGCTCATTGTGATTGTGGGGAAACAAGTGGGAAGCACAGTGCCAATACAAAGCAGGGTTTTTTTTCCTTTCATCTTGGTGAAGCCATTCAGGCAGTCAGAGCTGTACCTGTGGCACTGCTCTGCTTTCAGAGTCTGCACAAATGGGGGAGGCCTTGCCTTGGATCTGCTCAGGCAGCTTGTCTTGGTGGACCACAGAGGTGCAGCTCAGGAAAGGACTGACCATTGGGTTAGGATTTGAGTAGGAATCCTGAATCCTCACTTGGCTCAGCATAGATTCTTTTGGTCAGTTTTCCTCTTGTGTGGATTTGATGTTGATGTACTTTGAACAAAAGCTCCCTGTGCAGGTTAATTGCTAGGTTGGCTGTGACAAGGGGGAATTTGCTCACTGTGATGTAAAGGAGCTAGAACTTAGAGTAAATGGTTTTTACAGCAGTGTGGTTTATGTTCAGACTTAATATTTTGACCTGTAATGTATATAATTGAGCTTAGCCTTAAATAGACATTGGAAAACATGAACAGAGGCAATAAATACAGGCAGCATAAAAAAAGCCACCTGTCAGTGACTTTATTGGTGCATTAAGCATTCTGGTCTTGTTTGTAAAAATACACTCCTATGTGTGACTCCCACCCGCCTGGCAAGACATCAGGGTGTGTTGGAGGCTGAAATTTAGCTCCTGAATTCTTAGTTCTACCTCTGCCAATACCTGCTTTGGCTTTTTGAAGGATAATTATTGCATCTGTAATGTTCAGCTGTCTGTGTAACTGCCTGGAGTATAAAGAGTTATCCCCAGCTGAGGCAGGCAGGGTTCAGATGAACTCCATTTACACTCAGCTAGGTGATGTTTAAGTTTGTTCCCAGAGTATGGGAGAAAAGAACATCTGATGAAGTTCCTTTCTTAGCAGTAAGTTTTTGTCACTGTGAATGGTGCCACATACACATTCTGGCTGCTTGCAGTTCAGTCTCTTATTATCTTTGTTGGTGGCATTGCTGAGTCTGAGCTGCCTATTCTTGATTCTGACAGAGGGTGTTAAAAGCCTAAACTCCACCTGGTCACCCATCTCTCTGACCTGTGTGCAGGTCTGGTAAAGCCCTGGACTGTGACACTGCAGTTCTGTTTTCCACACCTTCTAGGACAGGAGTTTGGGAAGTCATTCAGTGGCTGAGACTACGACTTGGATTTTGGGTGTTGGTGAGGGGTGGATCTGAGACTGTGGCACCAGCTGCTTGCAGCCAGTTTGTGTGTTAGCCTGGACTTGCAGCATACCCACATGCCTCCTGCAGGTGCTGGGTAGCCTTGCCCAGCAATCTCAGGCAGGTGGCACACTGCAGCTTTATAAATCACATATGAAATGGGACTTGAAAATCAAGGAAAGCATTAACTTGTCCAAAAAGGTGTCTGCCACTGGATTGATGCAAGTTTTGGCTGGGTTGGTCCTGTGAGACTAAGCAGAAGGTAACATGCTGAAGCATACTTGGGTGAAACCAGATTTCTACAGACATTAAAAACTAATTACAGTTCATGGATGTAAATTGTTAGTGGGAGGTGCAGGATTACTGAATTATGGAGTTAGAAATGAGGCATTTGGTTGTGATTTCTGTCATGTGTCCAACTCTTATTGCTTCTCAGAATCATGGTGCACACATTTTTTTTCCCAGCAACTTAGCAAAATCCTCACCTCCTGTAAAATCCTGTCTGTGCTCCTCATAAACTTATTTTCTGTATGTTTTTGAGATTGCTGGGGTTTTCTAATTTGTGTTTCTGCTTCTGTATACTTTCAAATCAGAAACCATTCAGAACAGTGCTGTCTTGATGAGTTGGGAGCATATTCTAGGGCTGGAAAACTTGGATGACATTTCCATGATTGATGTGCTCACTCCTGTTATGTCTGAGTTAAAATCCTAGAAGAACAGACATCCTACTGAAAATTTGTTGTATCACAATGAAGGGTTTTTTTTGTAGTTGCAGTGAATTGGAGGTGGCAGAAAGATTTTTATAGTACATTTTATGATTGCTTTTGTGTTCTTATCATCAGCCCTTGAAAATGCCCAGCCTTGAGTAAAGACCTGCTGTTACATATAAACTTCATTGGTTTTTGCTCTTTAATAAGCAGAACGAATTATTTACAAGTCATTGACACTGCAGTTTAACATTCAGATTTTTTGTCTGTGGAGAGGAGGTAAAACCTGCAGCAAAAATTTAAGAAGAGTCCCAGTAACAGTGATAGTCTGTGATGATAAACATCTGATACTCCTTGTATGCAGTGTGGCAGAGTGTCAGGCACCCTGCAAAGAATGTCTCTCTCATTTTGAATAATATCAGTTGATATAATACTAATACTCAGTTTGAATAATATCAGTTGAAACCTCATTTCTTTTTCCTCCCTCACTTGGGGCAGATCTTATCTCAAAAGTGAGAAGGAAGCAGTACCTTCCATTCATGACTTTGCATTTGCTGTAGCAGAAAATGGATATACAGGGTGCCCAAGCAGTTTCTCCTTAATTCCATTCCTTGCCTTTCCCTGGGCTGTTGTGTCCCTAATTCCATTTCCTTGCCTTTCCCTGGGGTGTTGTGTCCCTAATTCCATTCCTTGCCTTTCCCTGGGCTGTTGTGTCCCTAATTCCATTTCCTTGCCTTTTCCTGGGGTGTTGTGTCCCTAATTCCATTTCCTTGCCTTTTCCTGGGGTGTTGTGTCCCTAATTCCATTCCTTGCCTTTCCCTGGGCTGTTGTGTCCCACATTTGGACTCGGATAGAATGAATTCAAACCTGGAGTGGCTTCTGGTTGTAAAGCACGTTGTGAAGAGGCTGCTGGTCCTGGCACAGTCATCCCAGCTCTGCAGGCAGCCCTCCACAGCAGGGTTTGGACTGCAGCCTTAGCTGCTGGGGGTGAGGGCTGGCAGGGTGAGGTGACCCTGTCCCCCCTTCAGGTGGCAGATGTGTCCCCCGTGTGGAGCAGAGCAGGCAGGGAGCTGTACGTGGCACTGTGAGACTGTCTGACATTTGGTTGCTGACTTTCTAAACCAATCCAGTGGCTGTGTTTTACCTGAGAGCTTTGAATGTTGATTATGTTGTGTTCCTAACATGGGTGCACTTAAAAATGCTGTTGTGACAAATCCTGCTACAAACATTGGCACTGAGAAGAGCGAGGGTTTATTTTCATGCACATTATTGGAGGTGTAAAGTCCTGTTTCAGATCCCCTTCTAACCTTTGAAAAGTGATGTGTGTAATCTCTTAACTTGGTCTACATTTTGTGCCACAGGTTTCAGAATGAATGAAATAAAACTCCACGGCCTCTGCTTTTGAAGCTCACATACACACACACCTTCTCTGTCATGCCAAGTGCTCACAGGACAGTAGGTCCCCACAGACCCTTTCTCAGAGAATGGCTGATACTGCTAATTTGTCCCCCGTAGATAAATGCATAACAATGGAGGTTAATTAACATCAGCTCTTCTTACTTCGAGGGAAGTACTGAAGTACTAATTATTCCAAAGCAGCAATTACGTCTGCAATTAAAGCCCATTAACCTTCACAAAAGTAATGATTCTGTTTTAAACCCCAGTTTTAATAGCAGTCATTTTGGCTTAAGGGATGGGAGAAAGTATTGGAACAACAACATGTATATGGGTTAGTTTAAAATACTCCTTAGGGCTTCTCTTCTCCAGCACAGCCCCCTGTGAGAGGATTCACTGGGGTGTAATTTAACCTCTGAACGTGAGCAGGTAGTGAGGAGAACACAGAGATGGTGCTTTAGCTGCCAGACAGTAACTCTCAACTTGTGATCAGTTAACTGTAGATTGAGCCTTGGGCTCAGCACATAGAGACTTAAGGAAGAAATCATTTCTTCAATTTTTCCTCTGCAGTGGTGGTGACCGTGGTGGCTTCAAAAATTACGGTGGTAAGTGCTGAGTATCCAAAAATGTTTCAGTGGAAATTCTTTATAAATCTAAAAGCCACCAATATCTTGTTACTATCTAGTTAGAAGCATTGTAGTGTTTTGGTGAGGCTGGTGTGTTGATGAGTTTTGATAGCCAAACTTTTAACAATAAAGTGGATTTCTCCATTGTCCAATTGCATGAAAGACTTTGTGGAGACAGTGACGTTCACCGGAATTTTCTTTTCTTTTTTAAATTTCTGTTACAAATGCTTCTTAGAAAGGTACTAGAGGTAAAAAAAAATAATAAAATTAAAGAATGGTTAACTGCTTGGTGATCTGACAACCAGCATTTGCAAGCTAACACCAGCACAGCATCAGTGTGGCAACTGCCACGTGCTGCAAGTTAACAGAACACGTTAACGTCCTACAGACACCTTCTGTTGAACGTTTTAGTCTAAATATTCTCTAGATCTCTGGTTAATGTTGTAGATTATAGATGCATTACATACATACTTTAAATATTTTCTTGTCTCTAAAAAAGTCACTTGAAAATGTTTTGCTAAAAATAGTCTTTCTTTTTTTATTTTTCCTTTTTTTTTTTTTTTTTTCTTTTTCCCAACCCGTCTCATAGGTCAGAGGGATTATGGACCAAGGTCAGATGCTGGTAAGAACACAAGCAGTGGGTGGGAGTGGATTGTAGCTTTTCAGCTTAGCTTGTAAAAAGTATGTCTAGGAAGATGGATATGGCTGCAATTCCCATGGCTCAAAAGGAATTTAGCTAAAGCTTGTCTTCCTTGAAAGAAGTACATGTGGATTTTTGGATGTCTTTCCATGCAGCAAGTAAGAATTTGCTGATCAACTTTGAATCTTCTGGAGCCAAGCAGCTCCTGGCACTGCCAGACTTGGGTTACTTCAAGCACACCCTGCTTTGGTGGCTTTGGGTGTCCTAGCTCTGTGGACAAGCTGACACTAGTGCCTGTGTTGGGTCTCTGATGTACTGCAACGTCTGAGGAGCTGTGTGTGCATTTTTGAAGTGGATGGTGTTAACTTCAAAACGATGCTCCCTGCTCATCTCTTGTTTCACACAAGATGTCTGCACTAGTGCCTGTGTTGGGTCTCTGATGACTGCAGCATCTGAGGAGCTGTGTGTGCATTTTTTAAGTGGATGGTGTTAACTTCAAAATGATGCTCCCTGCTCATCTCTTGTTTCATAGAAGATGTCTTTGGGATTTGAGGGTCTGTTACTGGGCAGCATAGACCTGAGCTTAAAATGTTGCTTCTGTTGCTACCACAAAAATACATGGTAAATGTAGCTCTTTTTTTGTTTTATAGATTCAGAGTCTGACAACTCTGATAACAACACTATCTTCGTGCAAGGACTTGGAGAGGATGTTTCAACAGATCAAGTGGCAGACTATTTCAAACAAATTGGTATTATAAAGGTGTGTGAAGTAAGAAATCCTTGGTGGGGAGAGCACTTGTGGGGCTAGTGCCTTGGAAATGTCCTGGTATCATTGAAGGCAGATGCTCTGACTCCCCAGCAGCTGTAGATAATAGTTTTATCTGGGTTCCCAGATGACAGCTCATTTGCAAGCCGACAGCACTAGCAGCTTTTTTTCCAGTGACATTTAGATTGCTTTGTATCTCTTCTTTAGTCTTTAGAACCCTTAACACTGACACTGTCTGTTGTACCACCCTCACACTTCATGCTTCTGTGTGCTGTGGCTGTTTCTTCTGTTTCTGCAGTTTTAAATTAGGGCTTTCTGCAGCTGACCTCGTTTTTCTGTTAAACTTGGGTCCATCATTACTTCATGAAGAACAGCCAGTCAGTATCCCTCAGTCAAAAGCATCTTTTTTTGCAGGCTAGCTCCAAGAGAATCATCTTCCTGTGATACTTAGCTGTTACCATTTATGTTCTGACCTGGCTTTATCACTGTTTCTCCTATGTCAACTCTACAAACTTTCTTTTCAGACTAACAAAAAGACTGGCAAGCCTATGATAAATCTTTATACAGATAAAGATACTGGCAAACCAAAGGGAGAAGCAACAGTATCTTTTGATGACCCTCCTTCTGCTAAAGCAGCAATTGACTGGTTTGATGGTGAGTGAGAATACCTGTTCTTTTGGTTATCACTCTAACAAGCAGTGGAAGAAGCAAATCAATCATGCCATACTACTTTTTCTTTGGCTTTTGGTTTTGTTGTGGGTTTTTTTGGTAACTTGTTGAGACCAATAGAGCTGTAATCTCTGTTAGCAGCTGGAGGAGCTTCCTACAGTGGTAGTGCTGACATTAGGTATGTTGTGGTGGCATTTTTGGGGTTTGGCAATGATTATGGCAATCTTGTCCCAAGTGCTTTGCATATACACAGTGAAGAGCAAGGTGGTTTTAAATTATGGGTTCTGTGGAGGAAGAGAGCAGATCCCAGAAATATGTTGATATAAAACTGTTCAGGCTTGATGCAGGAAATGCAGTGATACTCTTTGGTAGTACCAGATTTGGGAGGAGCAGGGGAAGTGCCTGTGTGTTCCCAGAATTTTAATAATATTGGGCAGAAACAAAAGGACATACTCTGCATCTGGTGTGAAATGGCAGTGCCTAAAAAATCTGGCCATGGCATGCTTTTGGCTAGTTTACATCTTGCAAATTAACTTTAGTTTAGGAGGGTAAAGGAAACATGACTTTGTTAGGCACAAGTGCCTTCCTTTGTGTTCTGTGATAAACCTTGTATCTATGAAGAACTGAGACCTTCAATTTAAAATGTTCATGTCTTCCACTTGCTTGGAGTATTTTGTTTGTGTGCTGGCTGTTGAATTATACCAAAGCCATGTTGCCTGACATGGGGGAAGAACAGAGCTCTAACATCCACACTACTTAGCCATGAACATGCCCAAAAGTCTTCTAACCAGGCACATAAGAACATTTATTGGCAGCTCAGGGATTGCATTTAAACCAAGAGAAATATCTGTGCATTAATGGAGAACCTACCAAGTACCTCAGGCTCTGCCATCTCACATTTGGACCCCTGCTTTCCAAAATAAGAGATTTACCACAGCCTCCCCTGTGCCTGAAGAGCTTCGTGCTCAGTCTGCACGTGCAGATTGCTCCTGTTCTTCTGAACTGGCTGCAGTGGTGCTGGGAGCTGTGCTGATCTTCTTCTCACTTTCTGTCTTCCCACAGGAAAAGAATTCAATGGCAATGTTATCAAAGTTTCTTTTGCAACCAGGCGACCTGAGTTCATGAGAGGAGGTGGAGGTGGCGGCCGTCGAGGTGGGACTGGAATCTGTACAGCCCTTGGTTTTGCACAGTTAAATCCTTCTTAACTAGTATGGGTTTATACAAGGGAAGTTGCCTCTGAAGTGGTGATTCATCAAAGTCTAGGGGCCTTTGGGATTCTGCCATGAAAGGGAGTAATAAGGATTGAGGCAAGTTAAGTAAACTGAAACCTGCAATCCCTTTTGCCCAGCACGGTATTTATGATTTCCTTTTGAACTGGAAAGCCTCCAGACCATGTCTTGGCATTGGTTTTGGAAGAGACACTGTAATGACCACGTTGAGGTTTCACAGGTTCCACACATAGGTGTGAATTCCCACTGAGCAGTTGCTTATTAGAGCAAAGCCTTGAGATACTCTGATGTTTCCAGATGGTATTAAACAGGGTAAATAGTTCAGCTGCTACTGAGTTGAAGCAGCAGCTGGATGTCTGATGCCTTTAATTAAATAGATGTTAATCTTCCTGATTCTCTGCACAATACATTTTTTTTTCATTAGTCCACTGGATATTAATTACCATTTTGCAGGAAGCATTCTTTGTGTGGTGGCTGTCAACAAATTTTAGTTCTTAAATCAGGCAGTTTTGTAGGCTGCTGAACAGTGATTCTTGAAGAAAATCAATTGGTATAAAAGTCCTTAATCTTTTGGATGAAGAAAGCAAGAAGTGTCTTGTCCCTGTGCTTGTGTAGATGCATCCTGGCAGTAATCCAGACAGATGTTCCCTTTCTGTTAAATTTTTGTTCTGTGAGTGAGTCTAGCCATATGTGATTGATATTCTATACTGTTAAATCTTTATGACATTTTACTAATGCCCATTGTGGGTTTATATTTACCCGTTGGCAATCCAAGCAGATTAAGTTTCCTTTTACTCCTGTAAATGAATTTATTAAAAAAAGATGTGGTGGAGCAACTTTTTTGTGGCAGCTATGTACTCTCCCTGCTTCTTATTTTCCCCCATCTGCCCAAGTTAGAAATCTCCATAGGAACTTGTGTGTTTCAGTTTTGCAGATCCATTCAGGACGTGGAATGCTGTTGAGATTTGGTGGTGGCTGAGACTCCTCTTGTCACTGCCTGTGTCTCCTAGCTGTCTTGTAGCTAGCAGTAAATCAACTAGCAGATGCTAAATTCTGCAGTGGTACCATATTTTGTCATTGGCACTCCCTGCTGCTTTCAGAGTTCCTCATAGGCTTTCAGAGGCTTGCCTAATAGGGATATATTTCCATTAAACACTCTTTTTCCCCACCTGATAAGTCTGTTTGTCACTCAGGCTCTGCAGCCAGTGCCAGTCCTTGATAAATGTTTCTCATGTCATAGGTGACAGACACTTCCCCTCCTTTATTGTCATTATAATTCTGTCTGCAGGTTCACGAGGTGGCTATGGAAGAGGTGGGGGCTTCCAGGGTAGAAGTGGGGAACCCAAAAATGGTGATTGGGTTTGTCCTAACCCGTAAGTGTCATTTTAATTGGGCAGTGGTGTTTCGTGGATGCTCTCTGAGTTTCTTAGCAGCTGAGCCTGGGGAATCCTTGTCTCTCCTAGGGGCTGTGGGAACATGAACTTCGCTCGCAGGAATTCCTGCAACCAGTGTGGGGAGCCCAGGCCAGAAGATGCCCGTCCAGCAGGAGGTGTGTAAAGACAACCCAGGCCCTTCTGAAACACTGAAAGTGTTGATGACATCTGCAGCACTTTGAAAAACCTGCCTGACGTGCCTGTTTGCATTTTCCTGCAGATTTTCGTGGGAGAGGTGGCTATGGAGGAGAGAGAGGCTACCGAGGGCGTGGCGGCAGAGGTGGAGAGAGGGGAGGTGGCTATGGTGGGAAAATGGGAGGAAGGTGAGCAGTGGCTGTGGGGGCTGGGGGAAAAGCATCATCTCTGTGAACACACACCACAAGAGATGTCAACCAGATGGGACTATTCCACCTTTGCTTAAGGGACTCCTTGTGATTTTCCCTTTCAGAAACGATTTCAGAAATGATCAACGCAACAGACCCTACTGAAGACCACTGTGAATGTCCTGTTTGTCTTCTTGATGAGTTTGATAGTGGGATTGCCAGAGTTTTGCCTGCCACTTCACCCATGGCCTCTTTGGATAGTGGAATTGAGTGAAACTAGATTTTTATTTGGGTGGGAGGGAGTGGGGTGGTTTGGGAGGATTCTTTTTTTTAAGCAAGACATGGAAATTCAATCTTGGTTTCAACATTTTCCCTCTTTTCTTCCCCCTTCATTCAACCTTTTCAACAGGGCCCAAGAAGGAAAACGATAAACTGTAAAATATTGCCAAAATATGAAGTGTTTTGTAATACAACAATAAATGCTGACTGTTTTATTTGTGAAATCTGAACTGTTCCATAACTACTTCAGCTGCACGCGTGTTCTGACGTATTCCCGACTTCCTGTGGTGTGACCTGAACAGTGAACAGGGTCTCGTTGGAGGTGGCACTGCTGCTGTGACTCACGTGTCCCCTGCTCCTTCCTGACCTCCCTGGGAGGCTGAGGTGCTGCCTTGCCTGCGTTCTGCTCGTGCTGTGCTGAGCCCTGCAGCCTGCCTGAGGAGCAGGCAGATGGCGACAGTGTCCTCGGGCTGCCGAGGAGCAGCTTGTGTCCAGGCCAGGATAAGTTCAAACAAAACCCCCCAAAAAAGCTCCTTTGCTGCTCATTGCTGTACCTTTTAACTGCTGCTTTAGAAGTGTGGGTGATAGCAGAGAAGTGTTGTGTGCAGCCTTTCTGTTTTCAAGATAAGATGGAGGTGAGGTCCAGTAGATGTGTTGTAAACCATTTGGGCTCAGCACTGAAGCCAAGGTTTGAGGGAATGAGGGAGGTTAATCACTCCTCCTTGGAGCAAGTCCCTGCATGCTGCACGGGAGGCTTGGAGGGAGCCTGTGAGAAGCTGCAGCCAGTGCTGCCTTTTCATCCCAAGACTTTAAGAGAGAACATCTGCTCTCTGAGAGCTCTGGTGGGGAGAACACTGCACACACAAGTTCTTGGGGTCTGCAGTTGCAGTCTCAGTGTCTGGGCTGCAGCTGCAGGGTGGCCTCTCACAGAGCAGTGCTGTCTGGTGGTGCTTGTGAGCAGCTCCCCAGCTGGGTGTAGGTGTGTGGTGAGGGTGAGTTCACACCCGCTGTTACCCGTGGCTGGAAGTGTGCTGACCCTGCTCTGCCTTTTCAAGGACTTGTCCAAAAGGCAATTGTCCAAATCCTGACCAGCTTGTTCCTCTTAAAACAGTGGAATTTGAGGTATATGTGTATTAGTGACGTTATAAAATCTAATGTACTGATAAGGCTTTAGAAAGGCAAGTTGTGGACAAATTCCCTGTCTGTTTTGCTTAAGATTTAAGATCCGAGGCCTGATCCTCCTAATTCAATCCTGCCACAAACAAGCCAGGCTAGAGAAGCTGCAGTGTTCATTATTTCCAAGCTGGTGTGATGAATCTGAGTGGAGCAGGCTGGAGGGTGCTCCCAGATGCCAGGAGTGGTGGCTGCTGGATGGGCTGGTGGCAGAGCACAGCAGTGACAGCAGCTGGGAACAGTGGGATGTGGCACTGCCACGGGGCTCTCCCCCAGCTCAGCTCTGCTGGAACTTTGCAGTGTGCAGACACCTCCTGGGGCTGCACCTCCAGTCCTCAGGGCTGCACAGGGTGAGGTGGGAATGGCCAAGCTGAGCAAAACCTGGATGTGTGAGGCAGGTTGGTCCTACAGGTTCCCTGCTGGGGCTCTGGCCTCTTCCCTCCCACAGGGAGCAGTGGTGGCTGAGAAAGCTGGAAACCCAGTGCTGGGAGCTGCAGTTCTGGCTCCCTTTAACACTGCCTGAGCTCCCAGCCCTGCTTTCTCCTCCAGGCTAAGAGCACTTGTGTCTTTACATAGTCACTACCCACTGGGTTACTAAGCAGGCTGGTATCTGAGCAAACCTCAAAACTGCTGGAGCTGTCACCACCTTCACAGCCTTCCAGCCTGGACACCAGGCTGAGTCTTTGTTTTGGTTGTGTTCTGTGCTGTGTCAGAGCAACACACACCCTGTGTTCTTACACGCTTTTTTAAGGCAGTGGAGACATCTTCACCAGCTGCTGTGTCTCATAGAAAGCTTGTAAGACAAGGAAAGGTCTTGAGAAGGGTCCAGAGAAGGGCAGTGAGGCTGGTGAGGTGGCTGGGGAACATGTCTTATGAGGAGTGGCTGAGGGACCTGGGGGTGTTTAATCTGGAGAAGAGGCTGAGGGGAAACCTGGCTCTCTACAGCTCCCTGACAGGAGGCTGGAGTGAGGTGGGGGTTGGTCTCTTCTCCCAAGGAACCAGCGACAGGACAAGAGGCAATGGGCTGAAGTTGCCCCAGGGGAGGTTTTGATTGGATCTTAGGCAGAATTTCTCTCCTGGCAGAGTGGTGAGGCCTTGGCCCAGGCTGCCCAGGGAGGTGCTGGAGTCCCCAGCCCTGGAGGGGTTCAAAAAACATGTGGACGTGGTAGTTCAGGACATGGTTTAGTGGTCATGTGGCAATGGTTGAACTTGATGATCTTAGAGGTCTTTTCCAACCTTAATGATTCCATGATGCTGTGGAAGGGTGGCCCTAGTTTGATGGCACATGGGCTTAGTTGCGTTTGGTGCAGAGAGAGTTAAATTAGTGTAGAGGGGCCTGGGAAGTGATGTTTTGTAGAAGATGTAAGCCCAGGTGGTGGTTTAACTGTGTCATTGCCCTCCAGTGGTTTCTGCCAAGTCCTTCAGCACTGCAGCTCTTCTCAGCAACTGCTTAAAGTTCAGCAAGATAAGCTCTATTGAGGGAAAAAGGAAAAACTTCAGAGAAAAAAAATCACTAGCAAGTATATTAAGGGTTGAATGAATTTTAGCTCTTCCTGACCTGGTAAAGTTTGCTGTTACCCTCTGGCACTGGCACTGGCAGAGCACTCTGAGGTACAGACCTTGCAGTCGTGCTGGGAATGTTCCTGTGTTCAATTGGTACCTGCAGCAGGTTTGGTTTCTGAGTGAGCACTGCTGGCACTGCGACCAACTGCTCCTGTTTCTGGGGATATATTTGTAGTACTATGCAAATAAAATGCTTTACTCATGGTCAGCACTCCTCATAAGTCTCAGGGGTTTACAGATACCTGGATTGCTGCTTGGGTTTTGAGAAGGTGTCTGTTGACAAGTCATCTTTTAACAGACCAGCAAAGCTGAAGCAAAAATAAAAGCCACATCTCACGAATCCTATTGGAATTCATCTTAGATCTGTGAGATGTGAGATCAGGGGTGGTCTGTGAGAATTTGGTAGGACTTCATCTCATAAAAACTGCAAGCTAAGGAGAGACAGGAGGGATCTATCCAGAGGTGGGCAACCCAGAGAGGCTATCCCATGCCTCTGCTTCCTTCAGCTCTTCTTGGGTTCTGCCCTCCAGTGCGTGTTCTAAGCGGCGAGGTTTTAGTTTTGGAAATCAATCCTGCATGGAATGCTGGTGGTTTATTTATAAAAACACATCTGGCCCTTGCCAAGCTCAACAATGACTTTGTGGAGAAGAGCAGAGCAGAGGGGTGCCCGTGTGGAAGAGGCACAAGATCATTGCAGGGCTGAAATGCAACAAAAATAGCTGAACAATTTAAGGGAGCCAAATAGTTTCCGTGCTGGCTCTGTGCAGCCAGACCCACCTCACCCTAAGAAGTAATGCAGCTTAAGTTGCTCAAATACCACTGTCCTAGAGAGATAGGGGAGCAGGGAGTGGGGCCAGTAGCTGGAGTCTGTGGGGTGTGGAGCCAGGATTCAGGCAGTGCTGCTCTGCCTAATCTCAGAATGAGAATTCCCATTTCCAGGGTAACAAAGAGCTCGAGTGATGATGTCCCCAGCAGAGGATGTTTCTGCTGCTGCTGTAGAAATGGCTCATGGGGCTGCTGTGACAAAACACAGCTGTCAGAGCTCACCCAGGGTTGCAGAAGGGCTTAGAAGCCTACTTTTCATACTAATACAGTGCTGGAACTCTGCTCCTGAGGGAGAGCTCTGAGCTCTCTGATGCTCCTGGATGGAGAGGGTTGAGCTGTCCTGTGAGCAAACAGTCACACTGCTCCAGCAAATGCAGCACAACTTTGCTGATGTGTTTGGAGGAGGGCTCAGGAGCTGGGCACAGCCTCACTTGACCTGACTGACTTCCCAGAAACTGCTCAAAAAGGTAAAGCCAAGGAAAGTATTTGGGGTTTGCATTTTTGTTTCTTTTTTTTTTTCTTTCCTAAACACCCTTGTGATAAGCATCTGTGCCTGGCTCTGTTAAGACAGGTTACTGGACCAGACTTGTGAGAACTTCCCATGCTCAAATGAAAACTATGTCAAAGCAGAAAAGCTTCACCCTGTGGCAGCTGAAGCCAGGGGAATGTAAGTGGCTGGTGCCTTTAAAAGATTTGGCTTTTGCAGGCTGGGGCTGCTGCCCACACCAGAGGGCAGGAGGGAAAGCTGGGACCATCTCTGTCTCATCTGAAGTGGTCCCATGTTTGGCCACTTTAATATTTTTCAGCATTGCCTGAGAGGGCACCCAGGGAGCCACCCCATGCTCCCCAGCTGCTGCAAGTGGTGTTGAGCAGCAAACATTTGAAGAATGTTCTCCAGAGGCCATGTCTTGAGTGGATGAAACGGAACAACTTGAACGTGTTCTTGGAACAAAGCACTAAAGATCTGAAGCTGGCAGTTCTCCTGCCCCATCCACCCCGGGCAGGAGCTGCCCTGAGGAGTGATGGTTGTTGCTATTTGCTCATCAGCTGTGGTAAACATAAGCTGCTCTCAGAAATTTCATGTCACAGAAGTGGTGTACCATGAAACATTGGTTTACAAACCCCTCTTGGAGCTCACCCTGATTCTCCAGAGCTGGAGTCCTCAACTGCACCCATACCAGCCCAGCCTCCCCCATTCCAGACTCTGTGTCTGGGACAACATTCAGTTCTCCCTGATATCTTTGGGTGAATATGCTCACAGTATCAAATCAGGAACCCCCTGGATCTCCAAGTTCAAACTGGAGGCATCTCAGGAAAGCGTTCAGAAATGCAGCTAGCTGACTGCAGTGAGACCTTTTGTGTTAATTTTGAGGGAGATGGAATTTTGTCTAGAAACCCCAAAAATCAAGGTTGTTTAGGCCACCAGAGCTTGTAGTGGATCTAGTTATCATGCTCTTCCAAGAATGTTTTTTTTTGAGTAGAACTTTGTCAGCTCTTTGCCACAGGCTTAACTTCTTTGGTTTCAGGTTTGGGGTGGAAGTTAGAAGTGGGGCAGAAGAACGAGTCTGACTCTTTCTAATCTACCTTACGCTGAAGGAGCTGGAAATCTCTTCACCTTTCCACAGGACAGCTTGTCTGTTCCTGATGCCGTTCTGTTCACAGC